TTTCATTTGGGAAGAATTTAGAAGCGATTTAATTTATATATAGATAAAAATAAGTTTCGAATAAATTAATAGTATTTATAAATTCTGAAGTTCGATCATTCATAAATCATTAGCAATAGGATTTTCACACTTGATTATGATATTATTTAAACCTTCCACAAATCAAATAATACGAATATTTCTTTCATCTAATCCAGAAATATTTTCTTCATAGACAATTAGACATAATATTTTTTCGATACAACAACAACAATAAACTTGTTAAAATAGTTTTGAATTCAGTAAAACTATCGAATATGACTTCAAAATACATTTCTGGCGTTGATACGATAAAAATACACCAGCCAAAACAATAGAGATTGCCAACGAAAGCTCGCAAAGTCCTAAATGATGTTGGTTTTGTCCAACCATACATAAACCATGAAACGCTTGAAGCCATAAGCAGCCTCATTATAATGTTATCAAATAGTCACTGAAGTTCAAAATTTTCAGAAATTGAAGAATTTGTTTCATTTGGAACTGTTCTTAATCTAACCTGATTTACAGCCTTTTCTTCAGGCAGTAATATAAGAAAAAGGACTGTAACTGCAGTCCCTACTCTTACTTGTATAACCAACCATGGCAAAACAAGTATAAAACTTATCCCTGAGCCGAACAATGACAACAAAATCCAAGGATAGCAACATCAAAGATGTGGCAAAATTGTATATGTCAACCAAGAATAACTCATTGTTGGTGTTCCATATTCCAAAGCATATCGTTTTCAATAGCTGTTAGCTTTTCAAAGTCATCGACAGCATTGTTGACTGCATGAAGGATCATCTTCTTGACCTGTTATAATCAGATTATTAGATGGTAAATCATTCTCTTTTATAACACATCTTTAAAGCATGTTTGGCTAAGCTTAAAAAGTTCACTTGTAAGTTCTGGATTTTATTGGACAAAGTTGGAAATAAGCAAGTTACCTTAAAATATGGGAAAAATTCATATATCAGATTTACCCCATATACCATTTCAAAAATAAGAAAATATATATAAATATATAAAAAGATATAGAGATATATATATATAATATAGTTAACCCACTCCACCTCCACCATCCCTATCGCTTCCGACGACTACTTCGATTCCCGCGACTATTCTGGTGATTGTTCTGACGACTATTCTGGTAAATGTGACCTATATTTTTGAACTGTAACTCTACAAACATATGTGACCTGTTAATATTGATTTCTGGTCACAACATTTTTATAGGTCACATGGTCATAGACTTCCAAATTAGTTCGTCACAGATTTTTTCACGGTCACAAATTATATAATTTTAGGTCACAGATAACAAAATGGTTGGTCACGAATTTTATTTTTAATCACAGATTACCAAATTTTAAAGTCACTGATTATTTTATTAGTCACGGATCAAAAAATTTATATGTCATAAGTCACGTGTTTTCAAATTTGTTGGTCACAGATTATTTTTTTAGTTACAAATTATCAATTTTAAAGTCACAATTCAATAGCTAGGTCACAGACACCAAAAAGAACGACCACCGCAGTTGACCCGGCCACAAAACCACCACAACAATAACAAAAAACGACCACCACCACACGGACCGCCACCAATAACCACCTCCACTACCACTAGAAACCATCACCACCAAACATATCAACAACGAACAAACCACATCTTCAACTACAAAACCATCATCGCCGCCACCTACACCCCAACACGATAACCACCTACAACAAAAAATGACGACCACACCACACCACACCACACCATCGCCATTGCCACGGCCACAGTCGCCCACACTAACACCAACTCACTGTAACCTCCAGCAACCATCGCCACTACATAACTGCCCCCTGCCACCGCCAAATTCAATAAAACCTACCCCAAACAGCCGATCCGCCACCACAAACAACATTACCATCACCACCACCACACAAAATACCATCCAAACCCATCCCCGCCACCACATTTCCAACCAGTCATTTGAATGAAAAAAAACACACACACACACACACACACGGAGTCAGCCGCTGCCCCCACATCTCCAACCAGTCAACCGCCGCCTCCACATCTCCAACCCCACACAACCAACCAACAGTCCGCCCAACAATCAACCGCATATCACGCACAAAAGTCGGAAACCATATCTTACCGATTGCATCTAATCGGGAAAACGAGCTCTTTCAAAATTGGGAAAGAGTGAGCTACAATCGCTGGATCCTTGTCCCTAATGCACATACGCTTGGAGTACAGCTTCCGATGAACAGCTCTATGGGCATGGTGGCAGCTTAATGGGAGAGACGCTCCTTCCACGCCACCGAGAGAGAGAGAGAGATACGGAGGGTGAGGGAGAAATGAGAAATTAGGAATTTAAGGTGAGGTGGGGTGGGGTGTATATAAATTAATTTTTATGATATTATTATTAATATTTAATTAAATATAAAAAACCTGTATCTATATATAAAATATCTGATTTTTGAAAATTAAAAATTGACATCTGATTTTTGAATTTAGATCTCCAAAAGTAGGGAATTAGATAATTTGCACTTAAAACATTTTGTCACTTAAAAAGGTAAGAGAATCAAGCATGTTTAATTAACTTTTGATTTATTTTTTTTAAAGCTTAGCTAGACATGCTCATGTAAATATGTGAGATGAGAATACCTCTAGCTTGTCTTCTCTAGCCCTGTGGTTCTTCGGTAGCATCCTGAACTCTTCAGTCAGTCGAAGGCACTCATGTATATTTTCAGGAGAAACAAAGTCTGCAGCAACTTTGGTGCATGACTGCATCAGCAGGAAATAGTCAGAAATCTATATGCAGCAAGCCAGACAAAATGTTAGGACTACATGAAATAAACCTGATACAGCAAATATACCTTGAGATTCCGAACTTGATGTGGACATCCTGCAGGAATAAAAATTGCATCCCCAAGTTTCTGTTCAAATGTCCAAGGTTCTACTCCTGATGATAAAAATTGTTCCCATCAGTCATTGCAAATGGATGTATAGCAATTAGAAAATCATCGAATATACTTCAAGGTTCAAAAAGAGCAATGGATGCTACTGAAATGCTAGATACTTGCCAAATTCTTCCTTAAGTTTCTTTTTATGTTCCGAAGTCAAGTAGAATGTTTGGTCATGAATTGGGTGAATAACCTGTATGCAAAACAGATAAAGAGAGATGAGTACACGTTTACACTATAATTTTGAGCTGTGCAAATAATTAAAAATGACCTGATCAACTGGACAACAATAAGTGTGCCTAAATTCCTTTGAATGCTTAGTAAGATACTCTTTCAGTTTTGTAACATCTTCGCGGCGAAATATGTCCCAGATAGCACCACCGCTAAGATCCTCCAAATGCCCTTCAGATTGTTTCTTTCCTGTATTGGCAATATGATTTAATGCACCCATCTCACAAAATGCATTTCCATTTCTCATTTTATTATCCCGACATTCAAATTCTGGCACATCGAAGTCCTCTTTATCTTGATTAATGTCACTGCTGAATTCAGAGGGATTTTCATTCTTCTCTTGATCCCGACTTTCTCTGTCATCTTGATCTCTATGCTTCTTTTTCAACATTTTGATTGAGTGGCGCTGCTCATCACTCAAAGCTACTTCAGCTGTGTGAGTCAAAATGTTCACCTGAACAAGTTGAACTTTTCAGATAGCATTAGGATAAAATAACGGAAAGATACTTTTGGAAGATTACAGGATTCGAGTTATGTGTCCATGAGAGTATAAACTTGCTAAATGAAGAGTAATCATCCGATTTTGATAAAGCTAAAGACCCTATGTAAGGTAGAGGAAAGTCTGAATAAATAGAGTTTGAAATTAGAACAAGACTTCTCTTTCAACTGGGGATGATACAATTTCAAAAGCATTCAGGTCAACATCCATGGGAGGGTTTTATCAACCCAACTCTTCATGCTTCTGCAGAATATTAAACTTCATTCTGTCATGTCAAGTCCAAATGGACAAAATATCACAAACTTTTCAAAGCACCTGAGCGCATTGTGGTATCTGAAAATTTCAACAAAACGAGAAAGGAGAAATACTTCTGCACATAGCTTATATCTTGCATTTATAATAGTGTCGTATATAAAGGTACACCAACGGCCACAAAATGGAGGTAACCCCAAAACAATAATCAGTATTGGTCTGAAAAGAAAAGAAATGGCTATGATGCATCGATAAGGATACGTGTATCTGACACGACACTTGTCGGACAAGCAATATTTCAAATTTTTTCAAAAAAAAAATAAAAATACTGACACGACAAGTTGAGTAAATTCTTAAATATTCTTTGTTTATATATTATAAATTTAGTTTTATACTTATTATTAATTTTTTTGTCGATATTTTTTAAATATGAGTACTTATTTGTTATTTAATAATAATTTTGAGTTAAAAATATATAATATTTGTTTATAAAGAATAAAAAAGACCATGACAGTGTGTCCGAGGAGTGTCGGTATTCGACACATATCAGATACGGACACGCTACCCTAGTCAGAGTGTCCGTGCTACAAAGCTAGTCACCGTGGCAAAGCTAATAACTTCAATTTATTTTGAACAACCCTTAGCTTACAACCACCGGGAATCTGCTTGATATTTTGTCATTCCATCAAAAGAAGCGGGGGCCTTACTATAAATATCATTAATATACTAACACGCAGAACATGAAACTATAACCATCTGAAATTGATAGCTAAAGACAACAAAGAAGGAAACTTAATTATTCATCCATAACTAAATGAATTCTGAGGGTTAAGAGAGTTATTTAATCTTGTTTCTATACTACCTAAAAGTTTCACCCGCAAAGAAGAATGAAAAATTACCGGGTTAAATGCGGCACTGAAAACTCAATACATGTAGACCGGCAATGAAAAATATGTTTGTTACTTGTAAAATTATCAAACCATTTAAATCTTTCAGGTATAAAGAAAGACGTTGGGATCTCAAGCAACTTATTGGATCTGGTGGTATGCCGTCGTCCCACTCAGCAACAGTAATTGCTCTTGCAGTGGCTGTTGGTTTGCAGGAGGGCTTTGGAGGATCACTATTTGCGTTGGCATTTATCTTGGCATGTGTGGTAAGATCTCTCTTGATTGTTTATGGTATAATCTTTCCTTTCTACATTCCTATGAGACCATTATTGACTTAATGCATGCTTGGCGAGCTTAAAAGAATTACTTATAAGTTTAATTATAAATAAGTGAGTTTTAAAGGAAATATAGTTTTTTGTTGGTTGAAGTTGGAAACAAGGAGGTTGCCGATTTTGAAAGAAACTCCGAACCTACCATCAAATAAGTAACCTTTTTACTGTAAGTAAGACGTCCAAATATGTTTGGAAACATAAGTTCGAATGGATAAATACACACTTCCATGGAGCTGTTGATTAGTGAAATCAGCAAGAAGAAAGTGATATTATAGACAGAATGTTTATAAAATTGTCTTCTGGAAAGAAAGATGTTAACAGTTCATAGAGGACTGTCTCCCTGTACATCAATGTGTATGATATTGTAATTTTATTCTTTCTTTTTTGGCCTTTGTAGTAAAAATGTTGTCCCCTTCAAGCATAAACACTTTTTTGTATCTTGGTTCTCCTTGTATCAGATTTTGGTTTAGAAAAATAACATAAAGATATACACGGAAATCTCCAAAACTGGAGGAAAACTATGAACTTCCAGATAGAAAAGTTACACTATAGGAAACATGGTTACAATCATAAAGAATTTCTCTCTAATTGAAACCCAAATATCATAGGGAAAATAATCTAAGCTTTACCAGACTCACCTATTCTACTGTTTGTACAAACCTCAAAGAGACAAGAAAAGCTAGGTTGCTAGACTTACTATTTTTCCTCTCAAGAAACCCTTTATCACGTATACAAAAGAGAGAATCGCATCAATTTAAAGAGATTGCTCGCTGAACCTTTTTCTTAATTTTCCTCCAAGAATCAGCTGCCTAAAACATGCCTTATTTGAAACCTTTTCAATTCTCATTCCATCCCAAATTGGCTCACACACAATTTGAGAACTTTGGCATCCTTTTCTTCCTCCAATTAAATAACAATGTACAGTTCAAAGGTAAGTTTTCATTACCTTAAATTGTTTCCTTTTAATATTGATTCTTCTTTGCTTTGGTAACTTTTGAGGCAATATTCCCTGCAACTTTCACTTGTTTTCACTTATTAACTGTTATATAAAACTGGAAATTCTTATAAGAAAAACCCTTGGCAGGTGATGTATGATGCAACGGGCGTAAGATTACATGCTGGAAGACAAGCAGAGGTTTGTGGCTCTTGCTGCTGCTAGTTTGTATTGATGCAATTATAGATGCATGTGAAAATGCGTAAGCATATTACGCTCGTAAAATTGATAAATTTGAAGATGCCAAATAGTGGAATGAATATACAAGCTTTATGCTATATACATCCAGAAACATCTAACGGACCAGAGATTTTTCAGGTTTTAAATCAAATTGTATGTGAACTTCCAGCTGAACATCCTCTGTCTGAGAGCAGACCACTGCGTGAACTTCTTGGTCACACACCTACTCAGGTTCATTTTTTTGCTTTAAATGAAGATTAAGTTTTTACCATACATATCATTTACTTTTGTGCATTGTTGTCGCCAGTTTTACACTTTTTCCTAAATGAATTTTTTCTTTCTTTACATTGCCAACTCCGTGTTGTTTCTTGGTAGAAGAAGGTTGGGTAAGATGAAATGTCATCTCAAAACTCTTACCTCTCGTCAAGATAGGAAACTCGCTTATTTGTATCTTTCACAAATTAAAAGAAATAGTTATTTAAAACTTAATTACTTACTTATTAGTAAATCTACTAATAAGAAACTTTTTGAGCTTAGCAAAACATGATTTCTTGATTCTTTTCTTGCTAAACTTTTCATTCTTTCTCTGTTCATAAATGGCTAACACACTAAATAGAGGCTTTTATGGCTTGTTTGGTAAGGTGGACTACATAGTATTAAGAAGTACAAAAGTTAAAATTCTGTATATTATACCGTCAAATCGAGTACTGTCTGTGAAACATACTCTCAAGAGTCTCCGCCTGAAAAATGACTAATATTTGTTTAGCATTTCATTTAATCGTCATTTTAGGTTTGTCCTTACCTTTGCGGGTTCAACACCCTTAACGAATACTTGCTACAGTTCAATGTGTGAAATCCCGTCTAATCCAGAGCATGCCCAGTTTTATATATTAATATTGTCACTAAACCGTTATACTTTTTTTTTTTTTTAATTAATTTCTGAAATTTGTCATGTGCTTCAGGTTGTTGCTGGTGCTCTGCTGGGACTTATTACAGCAACAATTATCCATTTGATCAATGGCTCTGGCATTCGAGCTTGATCGTTACATTTCTCCATTTATACAACAGATCTATTGCATGTCATTTCGATTCCCCTGTTGAAGATGGTTTCTCTTGAATTGAAGTCGCGTCTATGAACAGAAGGATAAACTAAAGGTGCATCTATTGATTGTAGTTTGATGAATTGTAAATAATAAGGTTTGTTGAAAGGGGGGAGGGGGAGAAGTCAAAGTCTAATATACATGAATAGCAGTACATTACCAGTTTTCAGTATTAAGTTCGTTAGTTGGACTGATTAAAGCATTGACGATAGTGTAGTTGGCTTCAAACTATTAACTCCGTGCATGTTTGGTAGTTGATTAAAATAAATTTTAAGCGATTATAAGTTGAGAGCCTTACGTAATGTGTAAATAATAAGTGGATAGAAAATTGTTTTGACCAGGAGTGATTAAATTATAATCCATACAAAACATGCTCCAATTTAGCTATAAGCGTACTTCCCTTGAAACTTCAAACTAATTCACTTGCAAGAATACTAGGTGCTTGTTTGAATCTCATTTTTGGTTAAGAATGCATGTTGAAATAGCAGATTAATGGAGAATGTGTGGTTAAAAAAGAAGAAAAAATTTTATGTTTGCGTGTAACATTATTTTATTGAAGAATGTGTGGTTGAAAAGAAAAGAGAAAAAAATATTTTAGAAATACTGAGGATTAAACAATGACTAAAATATCGAAAATATCTTGTTTATGTTAGTGTTTCATAAAGCATGTTTAGGTATGAAATTTGGACTTGTTGTCTAATCATGTTTTACGCTTTTTAGAATACGGTGTGTTATAGAAGAGTGAGAGTGAGCACATGTATCATAATTCAGAGCGTGTTGGGCAAAAAAAATGTTATTTAACTTATAAATTGGGGACTTGCAAATTGTGTCCCTAAATCAAACAAGGGAAAAATTCACTTTCCCTACTTTATCTTTACCCTATTTCAAAAATAACAAAACAATTTTTACATTTCAAAAATCAGATTTTTTGACCTATATATACACATATTTATTAATATTTATTTATTTATTTAAATATATAAAAAGATATAAATAATTAAATAAATAAATATATATATATATTTAACCCACCCCCACCACCACCACCCCACCACGCCGGCGACTGCTCCGGCGACCACTCCGGCGACGTCTCCGATTCCGGCGACCGCTTCGGCGCCTATTCCGGCGATTGCTCCGATTCCGACGACTCAGGTCACAAGTCACAACCCAGGTCACAACTCAGGTCACAGTTCAATTTACAAGTCACAGTTCAATTTATAAGTCACAGTCCAGGTCACAATTTAGGTCACAGGTCACAGCCCAGGTCACAACTCAAGTCACAATTTGTTTATCGATCACGGATCAAAAATTTTGTAGATCAAAAATTATTTAGAGGTCACAAATCAAAAAATTTGTATGTCACAGTTTATTTCATTGGTCACGTATTATAGAATTTTAAGGTCACAGATTAATTTTTAGTCACAAATTGTAGAATTTTAAGGTCACAGATAGTCCATTATGCGGTCACAGTTGGTCACGAATCACACCAAAGGTTCAAACAACTGCCGCTACCACATCCGGCAACTCACAGCCTAACCCATCGCCACAACCATGAAGATCGGCCACCAACTCACCACAACCAGATCCATCACTGTACCGACGACCCATCACCACCAACATCTCACCATCACCCACTACCACGACCGCCACTGTCGACCGTCACCGCCACACAGACCACTGCACAGTACAAATCAAAAACCAAAAAACTCTCAAAATTCAACCACCAAATTGGCACCCATGGCATTCCCACACACAAACCACCCGCCACAAGAATCAGCCATCGACACCACAATCAGCAAAAAAATTCTCAAATCAGCCATCGACACCACAACCATCGGTCGCCACCGTCTGATCCACCCTTGATCCAACGAAACCCATCTCCACCGCCAGATCCACCA